GTGTTCCATACATCTGACGTCCTAGCTGCCAGTGACGGATTTCAGGGCGTAGAGACCGCGCTTCCGCCGCAAACATTGACTGAATATCTACACTAGTAGCGATTGCGACACATTGACGTTCACAATGAACACGCATCCTACCTGTTATCTACTACGCGTGCGTTACCTCGTAATACGCCTCGAAGATGTGTACCACAACAGCATGTCTCGCACAAGGTTGACCGACTCAATCTTTCGCATCTGTGACGTCGCAATCGTCCAGATCTCCTGAACTCGATGCTCTTACGATTCAATAGTCTTACTGTTCACTAGATTTTCTACTGTCGCCGTCATACTCGTCACTAACTGCTACATACCTGGTTAGCATCCATCAGTCCGTGGCAGTTTCGCTGGTTTCCTGAGGAGCCAACACGAAACGGAACGAACAGGTGCGTGTCTACGGTAATATTGAAGAGTCGGTAGCTAACTTGTCGCTCAACCAGGCAGATAGATGTCTTTGGGTCGACCGACCATATCACAGTGGAAGAGCGTGCGTAATTTACATCAGTTGCCAGCAGCTCGACACTAAATTGAATGTCAGCTATGTATCCGCGGTGCTGGAAAGCTTTAGGTTTCGGAGCAGTGGTTGAGTATGCACTTCAATGAGCCACTTCGTAAACTCCATGCACCCCGCTGCTGAGTGAATGCTGGTAGGACGGACCTGTCTACATCAGTAAGTTAGCAAAGAATGACGAACATGGAAGAGTCGAACACGAGTGACCGACCACTTGTTCACGGAAAGTGTATTGTCTTCTGTCTTTCTCAATGTGTCATCTCCTGATTGAGAGTTGACTGTCGGGATACATCCCAGCTTGCACCGGTATCTCAGACCACCAACGGTCGCATTCGCCTGTCCCGGTCGCCGATATATCAAGACTTGTTCGGCGTCAACAGGCGCGCCGGTTCTTTCGCGAGGATATCGTGTGCGATAAAGTTCATCTCCTGTACCATACGAAACTGCTTTTGGTTCGACCAGCTCGACTTGAACCCTGATCAAATGCATGGCGGCTTGCTTTATCATTCTGCAATTTACCAAGACCTCCCTAGCCCCTCTTCCTCACCCGCACCCAAGATGAACCTTCTCATTTGCCTCGTGCTCGCTGCTGTGGCAACGACGACGACTTACGGACAAGCTCCAGAAGTGGCGGAGGGACATCTGAACGAACTGGCGGATGGAGTTCGAGTCCTATCAGACATTCTCACCCACAAGAGCGACCGGGAGTTCTTGGCACCTCTACTAAGCCTCGCACCCCGTCCCTTGACTCCCATCCGAGCTTCTTCTGCTACTTCCATTGGGGCATGATCGCTGCGACCGAGATCGCGCTGATTGAAAAAGAGAGTGAGATCCAACGATACCCCAACCTGTTCCATGAAACGAGTCCATGTTTCTTCGTTCGTATTGGAATGAAGGCGTAAACATGTAGGCGAGTGAAAGGGTAACATGGCATCAATCTAGCTTGCTTTCAACTCGATTGTGACTTCGGTACTACACTGACATCTACCTTTACAAATCGCATTGGCACTACTGAGTTGCAAATATGTCGTCGTCTGTCCGACCGAAGCCATTCGCCCGTCTTTCGGATCCCTTGCACCTACCCGGGAGTCTTCCATGCGCTCGAGCTACTTACATGAGCTGCGACAGCGAAACCGTTTGTGCTCATCGGCGGACAGATCCATGAGCCCTGTGTCAGATCTGTAACAAGCAACAGGTCATCATCCGCTCGTTTGCTTTGAGACCGACTGAAGTCATTGTCATGCGGATCAATACATTCATCCGCATTGGGCTGTCATGGCAGGAAACACGGACCTCGTCTATGGCTGCACGCTGAATGACAAGAGTCCGCCCCGATTGTCCATCTGGCGTCCTTGCTGCTGTCAACAGAGTGCTAACGAGACCGGCGTGATCGATACCTTTCTTGCAACCTGCTCGCTTTCTAATAGCAGGGGGGCACAGGGAGTATGTCGGATACGGGAATACACACCCGTTTATTCGTAATTGATTCCAGTGATGTCTACGGTGCGTTTGTGTCTGAACGACGGTCGATTTGTAGTGCGTCCTTTAGGTCCTCCCAAATGAACGAGATACGCTCTACGATACCTAGCAAAGCTCATCCTGATCGATTGTATCTCTCTAGTGAAATCGACGATCCAACACACCACCCGGTCCCGAAAAGAACTCTTAGCTCCATTGTGAGTCTACGATCACACAAACACCGTGTTGCGATCTGTGAGTGATGTAGAAGGATGCAGACAGAGGCACACAATGCATTATCAATACACGCTCGTAGCACCGTAGCCGATGAGTGAAGTACGGAGAGACGAATCCTTACCAGACTCTTGCAGTAACGTTCATGATCGCATCTGTAAAATACTCGTACGTTCAGGAGGCACTATTGAGGCACACGCGTTGCAACGTGGACCCACCAAAGCCATGAACCATCATGAAGAAGGATCCGTGGAACTTTCTGGGCGAACCAAGGGCTGGACGATCAGGGTAGAGCTGGTGACTAAGTTGAGCATCGTGTTTTTGTGCTCATTGCCAGCGTACATTTTCATTTACGCTTGCCTTGATGGACTACCCGCAAAGTGGATGGCAGCAGACGGACAATCGTTCGATGCCCCGCCTTGCCGGACGCGCTTTTTCTTTCATTCATGATGACTTGCTACGATGGAATCGTGATGGTGCGATGGTGTTTCGAGGGCAATGCAACTAAGCATACCGAAGCAATGAGCCATGGTGTTTTCCTCCTTCGCATCGATCAAGCGTGTGACTTTGCTTTGGAGCAATCGAAATCAAACAAACTCACGAGGATTGTTAGCGTTGGTACAGATCAATGTATCGTGTTACGAAGGCACTGAAAGAAGCGATCATGCGAAACAATGTACATTCATCGAGGGCACATTGGATGGAACAAAGTAATCCACCGCGCAACGGCGTATGGACGCTTTGGGTAACTCGCGTGTTCCACAAGTCAACATCCTAACTCGCGTGTTCCATGCATCTGACGTCCTAGCTGCCAGTGACGGATTTCAGGGCGTAGAGACCGCGCTTCCGCCGCAAACATTGACTGAGTATCTACTCCAGTAGCGATTGCGACACGTTGACTTTCACAATGAACACGCACCCTATCTGTTATCTACGCGTGCGTTACCTCGTAATACGCCTCGATGGTATGTATCACAGCAGCATGTCTCGCACAAGGGCTGACCGACTCAATCTTTCGCATCTGTGACGTCGAGATCGTCCAGATCTCCTGAACTCGATGCTCTTACGATTCAATAGTCTTACTGTTCACTAGATTTTCTACCGTCGCCGTCATACTCGTCACTAACTGCTACATACCTGGTTTGCATCCATCAGTCCGTGGTAGTTTCGCTGGTTTCCTGAGGAGCCAACACGAAACGGAACGAACAGGTGCGTGTCAACGGTAATATTGAAGGGTTGTAACGGGGCACCCTGAAGCTTGTACTGGTGACAGTACAAGCTACTTATTCCGATAACAGAATAAGGCGGTGCCTCGTAACTTCACGTACACTAGTACGTGCAGAGGAAGACGGTAAGAAGAAGCAAGTACTTGGTTAGAGTAAAAAGTAGAACTGTATTTATAATAGTTAATGTCCGCAATAAATCACTATTTATCTTCATCTAACTATGTCTAAATACAAATGTGTAAATCAGTTATCTGCTCACCACTCATTGCGTGCGTCTGTCATGGCGCGTCTTCGTTGGTTGATATAATGGCCTATATCAACCAATTGGGAACTACCTGTAAGTGCTACAGAATATTTGTCCTTATGACAATATTCTGAGAATACAACTCTTATAGTTATATTCTATTAACAATGTCTCATAAATTGTTATGTAACGATTCACCCCGTTACATCAGTTCCCCCCTTAACCATCAGTCACTTTAGTGACTGATTGACTAAACGGATACTCGTCCCAAATCATTTGGGACAGGGTTTGCACTTGTTAGTTCGAGTCCACTTTCCAACAATTCATCGCATGGTTAACAAGCCCATGCGATGCGCGAGCAAGGCCGCCGAGAGCGCGTCTGCACGTCTCTGTGCGGACGCCGAAGCAGAAACAACAGCAACTGATGTCCCATCGGTTGCTGAAGAGACCCAGCCTGTGTCACTTGGTGACGCAGGCGCTGGTCATGAAGACACTCGTGTCTTCACAGAGTACGAGCTCGGTGTCTCGTACTCTCCTGATACGGATGACGGATCCGTATCGACGGCGATTGAATCTAAGCCGCCTGCCAAGCGTGGCATGGACGATGCTTTGCGTCGCAGCATCTTTGGTTCATCTGATGAGTCAGATGAACCATCGCCGAAGCGAAGGCGCTCGAGGTCGCGAGACTCGGGCGCTAACAGTGGTGTCGGTTCTCCAATGGACACCACTTCACAGCGAGGTGCCAGTACTTCTGTCGGCACGTCGCAGGAAGAGCGGGACCGCAATGTGTTGCGTCTCGCTCCAGAAAAGAAGGCATGGATGCCTCCAAAATCTGTCATGGATCACTTGTCGGCGACGACGAGTGATCGTTATCGAACACGATTGTTCGATTCGTCAAGGATCCATCACTCTTGACCCCAGCGCGAAAGACTATCGCGCTGAACATGAGTTCTTCATCGATGCTTTCTTCAGACATCGATGGTACAGTGGGAATCACAAACGTGATGGTCCCTCACTACTTCAGGCGTGGAACGCCTACATCCATAACCTCGAGGATGTAGGTCGTGACGCTTGGAACGACAAACTTATCAAAGCTCGTGATAAGTTTGAAAAGCGAACCCCCACAGGTGCACGCTACAAGCTGCATCGTCTGTCAAGGGAGAAAGGATTACCCTGCCTCTCTTGGGGAGACTCGTGCCCATGTTGTGTGAACAACTCTGCACGAGCACCTAAGGAGGCTTACCTCCTTACCAGCCCGTGGTGGCGCGTACGTGTCTCTACTGAGATGTACGAAGGGATTGACAACCTGAAATCCCTTTACGACCGTGCCGGGAAGACTTTCTCCGGCGGTCCTTCTGCGGCACAGGATGTGCCGCGTCGTACTGCTCGACCAGACCCAGTACGTCAACCATCAATTGGGAGCGGGGCTCCCAAGAATCCCAGGACGGGGGATAGCCGCGCCACCGGACGAGGTAACTCGTCCGACGTCCGTTCACGTCGCGGTGGTTCAACAGCCGCTCAATCAGATAGCGCTGGACACCTCGAGAGTCCTTTAATGGAGGTGGAGGAGGAGGAAATACGCTCTCCACACGATCATGTGGATCGGTGTGTTCCCGAGAGCTTCTTTGATCGCGTAACGCAAGGGTTACGCGACGATCTCGAGCATGAGCGGAATAGGCGTCTCCAGATGGTGGACACTGCCTTGAAGCATCGAGCTGAGTTTGCCTTTGCTCAGCTTGAGAACGAGAGATCTCTGACATCTCTTCGTGACGAGCTAAGGGTAGCTCGTGGGATTGTTGATCGGTCTCGGGACCAGATAGCTGCTCTTCAGACCCTTGTTGATGCCCACCATCGGGAGCACAAGGCTCTCTGCGAGATGCTTGAGCGCAAGGGCGTTCTTCATCGGAAGAAGCAGCGTACTGATGGTACGGCTTAAGCCGACCAACGTAAAACGTGGGATGCGTTCGCATCTTACGTGGTAACTCGATCGTGTATGCATTGCCTAGGCGGTGCAATACACGAAATGGGCCAATGTACTTGGGTCGTAGTTTACTGCTACCCAAGTTAGTCACTACATGCTTTGGTAGATTAACCGTAGACAGTAGGACTAAGTCACCTTTATTAAATAAAAGAGTGTTTGCCCTTCCATTCTTGTCAGCGTTTTGCTTTTGCTTATCCACCGCTTCGGCGATGGAGTCTTGCACAAAACGGACTACCGTTTCACGAGCCAGTATGAACTCATCTGATGACTCGTTAGCTTCAGTGTGCTGTGAGCGCACTGCAGCAACAACAACCTTTTCTTCAGTGAGGGCTTCCGCACTCTCGCTGGGATCATTGTCTTCAGTGAGGGCTTCCGCACTCTCACTGGTATCATCTTCTTCGATATCGATGTTATCGATATCGGCATCGAACGCAATGACTTCTTCGTCAGAGCGTGATGAGCGTGAACCAAATCGGCTTTTGCTCGCGCGAGTCCCTCCCCCCTTAAACCAGAGTTACACTCTAGTAAGGTGGGTACACGCGGATGGCGCAAGCCATTCACGTAAAACGGTGTATGTGTCGTGGACGCATGCACCGAGTTGTTGATGGCAAACTCTACCATTGGCAAAAACTCACTCCAACTCTTAAAGGAGTGTACGTATCCTCGAAGTATCTCTTCAAGGACACGATTGGCACGTTCCGTCTGACCATCTGACTCTGGATGATCAGATGTTGACATCTTCAAGCGCGTTCCGAGTGATTTGAACACGGAACGCCAGAAATCAGCAGTGAATCGTGGATCTCTGTCTGATACGAGTTCACGGGGCAACCCATGAAGTCGGAAGATGGTGTCAATAAAGACGCGAGCACAGCCACTTGCCGTGATTGTCTCTGGTACAGCCACAAGGTGTACCATTTTGCTGAATTTGTCAACAAATACGAGAATACCCGTATTCCCGCGTGCGTCTTTGGGTACCCCGAAGACGAAATCCATTGAGATGGATTCCCAGCACTCAGCCGGAACCGGTAGAGGCTGTAAAGGTGCACGCAGTGAAGGACTTGACTTCACTCGTTGGCAGACTTCGCATGCGCGAACATACTTTCGCACAAACTGATACTGGCGGGGCCAGTAAAAGTCTCGACTTACCGTGAGATATGTTTTCTCTCGGCCACGATGTCCTCCTATAGGAGCATCGTGATACTCGAACATGATCCGCAAACGCAGATCAGTATCATCTGGAATGACAACACGTGGTGTGTCACCAGAAACGGCTGTATAATACAGTAAACCGTTACGAGTAGTGTATCGATCTGATGCAGATCGATACGCAGGCGACAATCGTTTCAACGATTCTCGGGATGGTTGGGAGAGATGTGACAACAACTTCACTATCTCACCATCTTGGGCGTATGCCCGCCTCACATCATCATACAACGTTGTAGATGGGACTGAGGACGTCATAACCGCAACAGTGACTGTCTCACTGTTGGGTTTCGCGACTGTTTCAAAGTCGGGACGACGTGAGAGTGCATCAGCGACGACATTAAGTCGTCCTGGTTTGTACTCAACCGTAAAGTTGTATTCTGCAAAGAATGACAACCACCGCGCCATTCGTTGTGAAAGGTGCGGGCTGTTCACTGCCGTGCGTAAGGACGCATGGTCAGTGTAAACAACGAAGGGTCTATCTCCTAATAGATAGACTCTGAACTTCGCGAGTGCATACTTCATGGCAAGGAGTTCCTTGTCATGCACTGGATAGTTCCGCTCAGCTGGTTGCAGCTGACGCGACTGATAGCAGACGACGCGTTCAACGCCTTCAAGATCGTACTGCATATATGCACAGCCGATTGCGAAATCGCTGGCATCACAGACCACATGAAATGGCCTGTCCTGATCGGCTATTGCTAGGACTGGGGATTGTATCAAGCTCTGCTTGATACCCTCAAAGGAGCGTTGACATTCAGCGTTCCATAACCACCTCTCGTTCTTTTTCAACAAACGAGAGAGGTGTACAGTCATCTCGGCGTAATTGCGTGAATACTTATGCAAATACGCCGCTAGCCCAAGGAATTTTCGAAGACCTTTGACATCGACCGGCACAGGCCAGTCGGTGATCGCCTTGATCTTTTCGGGATCAGGACGTACACCGTTCTTACCAACGATGCACCCAAGAAGTAGTATTTCGCTTGCAGCAAATACACACTTCTTGAGGTTTGCATACAATTGATGCTTTCGCATGATTGTAAGAACTTGTCGGACGTGGTACCTGTGAACCTCAACGTCCGACTTTCCATCCATAGCTCGACTATGGATGAATACGTCATCGAAATAACTCGGCGCGAACTCTCGTACTGGTCTCAACAGATGTGATACACATCTGTTGAACGTGGCAGGGGCATTACTGAGCCCTTGTGGCATTACTAGCCATTCCCAGAGCATGCCGCTAGGCGTGCTAACTGCGGTATAGGGTATATCCCGTTCCGCATTAGGATTTGATAGAAGCCATCCATCAAATCCATGGACGAAAAGATGGTACTCTTTGACATACCATCAATGATTACGTCCTTCCTCGGTATCGGCGTCTGAGCCGGTACCGTTGCAGCGTTCAATTTGTTAAACGCGTGCACTATCCGCCACCCTCCTGTTGCTTTTCGCACACAGAAGGTCGGAGAGCTATGTGGGGAAGTTGATTCCCTCACATGGCCCGCTGCTAAACGATCGGCAAAGAACTTGTCGATCGCAAGTACTTGTTCACGAGGCAGTGGCCACTGCTTCATGACACAGTACTTCGAGCCTGGTTTAAGCTCGACTTCGTGTCGAATACCTTTATCCTTCGGTAATTCGCACGGAACAGTTTCAGGGAATACATCCTTGAATTCAACCAAATCCTCATAGAGAGGATTTTCCTTGAGCGATTCCCATGATTGGGAGTCAAATCGCTCAAATCGTGTCTTTTCATCTAGGACACTCTCGTCCATCGATGAACTACTGAGAAGTATCTCGTTCTCAGTAAACACTGTTGCTGACCTTATGTCGGTTACACACTCGTCGTCAGCGACGAGTACGCAGATCTGCTTGACTTTGCCACTACGCAGATCACGCAAGAACCTTTTATGTTCGAGCGTTGGCAACTGAGTGATCTCCGAAGTTAACTTCGGAGGCGCAATCAGATCAAGTGTATAAGCGCCTACACATGATCCGTTATTGACTATGACATCCAATTTCTCTGTCATTTCCTGGGGACTTATTCCCTCAAGCTTCGAAGGACTTATTCCTTCGTCTTCCCGGGGACTTATTCCCGCGGGTTTCGGGGAACTTATTTCCGCCGTATTTGTAATCTTGGGACTTATTCCCTTTACTTCCTCTAGCTGGGGTTGCGCAACCACAGCGAGATCCTCTACGAAAGACTCTCCAGTCGATCTAGGATTATCGTTTCGCTTAACCTGAGCGATCGATTGTTTCTCTTCTATATGTTCCCCTCTAGGGATACATCTATGTCCCAGTCCACCCGACTTATTCGAGTGGTGGACCTTCGGCGCAGCCTGTGTTTCCTCACAGCCGCCGGAACTTTGCTCCGAAGTGTAACCGTTTGGTACACTAAGGTTTTGTGCAGTCGTACTAACGACCGTACCACAAGTGAGGCCATCGCACTCACTCGTAGTACATCCACACGCTTGTGGACGCTCCAAAACGTTCATCAGATGGCCATCTGATGAACAAGCGGCAGGCATCGTTACTGTCCGATGTTGCCAGTTTACCCGTGGTTCGTACCTTCTGAGCCACGGTATTCCAAGGATGACATCAAATTTGTCATCCAAATCCAATACGATAAAGTCATCGTCATATTGGGTATCTTCTAGCGTATAGTGAATCTTCACTATACGCTTCATGACGGTTACGGATGCGCCTGTCGCAAGACGTACCGTCATCCTCGTAGGAGGTGTGTCACATTCACTGAATTTAAAGTGACCATCTTCTAGCGATTGGCGTCGCACAAAATTGTTGGACGCCCCACAATCGACTAGAGCTCGAAGGGACAACTTATTCGTCACTTCGAGTTTCAAGGTAATGAGTGAGATCTCATTACCTAGAGCAGCAACGCACAACGTCTGTGTGTTGGGAGCAACCTTCATCAAGAGGCCTACAAATTCTCTTGACGTTGCTGGATCAGTAGGGTGCTCCGCACCTACTGATCCTGTCCGTTTTTTGACGGTCCATCCCGTTGTTGCGTCTTTGCACCAACTGCGGACCCTCGTCCCTGCCCCTTTCTCATGGGTGGACGGTCACTACGCCCAGTGTCGCGAGACACTGGACGAGGGGCACTACACTCGTAAGCGTAGTGTCCTGTAGTCTGACATCTGTTGCATCTCTGCAACTTCTTGTAGCCTGTAGAGCGAACCTTCTCGCTCTCTACATAACAGAGTTCCATCGGCTCTGGACCTCCGTTGTCATATCGTCTCGGTTGACGATATGATGTCGAGCTGGCGCGAGCCTGTCTCAGACTGAAGTCTTCCTGCTCCGCAATGGAAATGGCTTGTTCTAGTGAATCTAGTTCGAGCCGGAACAGGTGAGTCTTGACGGGACCATCCGCAAGACCCCGCATGAACACCGAAACCAACGTGTGTTCATCCACCGGATTGGAACTTATACAACTCGTGAGATGTCGTATATGTTGAGCGTAAGCGTGCACATCACGCTTACCCTGCTTGACCTTCAAGAGTTCGGTTCGAGCCCTGAACTCAGCTCTAGGCGGTTCAAACGTTTGTCTGAGCCGCGACTTGAAGACTTCCAACGACCCAAACGCATATGGGTCGTGCAGCTTGAGCCCCCGTGCCCAAGTCTTGGCACGTCCTGCCAGATTTGACTGGGCAAATGCAACTTGCATATCCCCGTCGTCGATGCGACGCGCCCTTATGGCGTCATCCAATTCGACGAACCATCTCAAGAGGGAGTCTTCTTCGACCCCCTATACTTTGAGATGTCAATCTTCAAAGTCTCGGGTCGACGCGAGTGCATCGACCCGCCAGCAGCAGCCTGCTGCTGTCTCAACAGTTCAAACTGTTGAGCACCTTGTTCTCTCAACAACTCTGCTTGTTGAGAACCTTGTTGGTGAAGCAAGGCTACTTTCTCGCGTTCTGCGTCAAGTTCATTTTGAATGAACTTGGCGATAGTAGCATGTTGGGCATCTCTATTGAGAGCCTCTAGCATGACGCTAACAGCATGGATGCCCATGGTCGAACCCATTCGTTCAACCGCATCCCATTCGACATCGCTCAAATGGGAGTAGCCGTCACGCGTAGCGTGAAAGCTTTGGTCATCTTCATCATCCAACATGTTCATGTTGGATGTGAACGCGGTCCTTGGACGGACTACGAAGTGCTACCAGGTGTAACGGGGCACCCTGAAGCTTGTACTGGTGACAGTACAAGCTACTTATTCCGATAACAGAATAAGGCGGTGCCTCGTAACTTCACGTACACTAGTACGTGCAGAGGAAGACGGTAAGAAGAAGCGAGTACTTGGTTAGAGTAAAAAGTAGAACTGTATTTATAATAGTTAATGTCTGCAATAAATCACTATTTATCTTCATCTAACTATGTCTAAATACAAATGTGTAAATCAGTTATCTGCTCACCACTCATTGCGTGCGTCTGTCATGGCGCGTCTTCGTTGGTTGATATAATGGCCTATATCAACCAATTGGGAACTACCTGTAAGTGCTACAGAATATTTGTCCTTATGACAATATTCTGAGAATATAACTCTTATAGTTATATTCTATTAACAATGTCTTATAAATTGTTGTGTAACGATTCACCCCGTTACAAGGGTCGGCAGCCAACTTGTCGCTCAACCAGGCAGATAGATGTCTTTGGGTCGACCGACCATATCACAGTGGAAGAGCGTGCGTAATTTACATCAGTTGCCAGCAGCTCGGCACTAAATTGAATGTCAGCTATGTATCCGCGGTGCTGGAAAGCTTTAGGTTTCGGAGCAGTGGTTGAGTGTGCACTTCTATGAGCCACTTCGTAAACTAAGTGCTTTTTATGAAGGCTCTGCACAGTTCGAGGATGGAGGTGAATTACATGGACGGCTTGCCCTAACTGTAAGAACATTTGTTTGTTGGCTGAAAGGTCATGGGTGGTGAAGCAGACAATTTTAACAGACAAGGAGGACAACGGATAATAGTTTAGGTAACTTAATTCTACTTTTTTTCGATTTTCTGCCTCCAGCTACATCAACGGGTTGAGAGCCGTATCTTGAACCGCTGAAACAAGACCAGAAGCACCTCGCATTTCCTGTAATGCTAACAGAGCGTAGTGATCTTGCCCAAGCCTCTCGGTATGTAAAACTATATTTACTGGGGGTATAATACGAGAATGATACTCGCCAGGGAAAACTGCTGGCACACGTTAAGTTGGTCAAGGAAAACAGCGAGTAGCGGACGCTTGGCTCAAAAAGAACACTGAAGCTCTTATCACCATTGCGAGGGCATCAAGATTATAACACCTGACAAAGATTCGTTTCTCAGCGCGTGCGATTCAGGCGTAGGTGACGAGAAAATTCTTTAACCCATTACAGTCCACAATAGATTCACTATGACATGGTGCCTCAACGAGTGCAAAATAGATGGCGGGCAGAGTAGATGCATTTGGACGCCATCGCTGAGCTCTTTGTTGGTTTTAATCGTTTAAATAGCGCATTGACAAGGAACGCAGCTCGTAGTGATTCTGAACAGCCTTCTGCCGAGTATGAGCGAATTTTGTCAATCATCGATAACGCTAAGGACGTCACGCTTATCGAAGAGTAGGAGAATATTTTTAAGGAGTGTAAACGGTAAAGAAGAAAATTACCCCTGATCGAGTGTTTATGTCAAAAATGGTTCTTTTGAGGGCAAGAAAGGGAACGTCACAAGTGAAGCGTTTAGAAGAAGGACGATTTTGTGGCTTTCAATGCAAGTGTTTCAAGTACAACAAAATTAGGCATATGAAATGGGACTGCCAAGGACGGACCACGGAAGGCGATGCCTAAGTTTCTTTTCGCTGTTAGCACAAAAAGTATGAAGGCTGGTTGATATACAGTGACGCGACCGCCTGTATGACCTCACACCGTTCCGGTCTGTTAGAGTATGAAATCGAGAGCAATGGCTTAGAAGGAATGATTACTGACGGGAATAAATGCTGATCGCAGGCGACGACCGGCGCCTGTTTGCAGAGGAGAAGCTTGCGGAACGTGGCTTTAACAAGGAGTTCCAGCAACTCATGGGTTATATGGGGAAAGGCTAGTGCAATTGCAATGGGTATGAAGGTCAGCAATACGTACGTGTTAAACTTTAATCAAGACAAAGCTTATTTCGTCTCGTGCGCCGGGAATAATAGCAAGTGAGAAATTTGGGCTCCAAACCATGAAGCCTTAAATTAGACACATCATGCCAAAAAAAGGATCCTGTCTTTTTGGCAACAAAACCAGTTATTTGAGCAGATAAGGCATACAAAAAAAAGAGGATGAGAACATTTCCGCACCGTTCCAGCCCGTAAAAGCCAAACCGTTATATAAGGTATTCGAACGCACACATCATACACTGTCAGTGGTGCAAGGTCTGTTCAGTTAGCTGAATAAGGTGTGCCCCGTTACACCTGGTATCACTTTGTAGTCCGTTCAACGACCGTAATCATTAGGACGACGAGGGGGATGAAGTTGATCCTATGCATGAAAGCTACTTCAACATATGAAAAATTTGATGGGACGCCATCGAAACTTTGAGCTCGATGATAGGGCAAGAAGCCGTTGGAATAATGCTGTCCGCCCTGGAGCCAGACGGATAGCACGCCACCATCGCCAAGTTCATTCGTAATGAACTTGACGCGAGCAAGAAAAATGACCTTGCTTCACCAACAAGGTTCTCAACAGACAGAGCTATTGTAAGACGTAGTTCTTAACATTTGAACTATTGAGACAGCAGTAGGCCACGGCTGAGAATCTAAATCTTGACATCTCAAAGTACAAGGGAGTCGATGAAGACTTCTCTTTTGAGACATCTCGTGGAACTAGACGATGTTATGAAGGCTCGCCACATCGTCGATGAGCAAACACAGATCGCATTTGACCAATCGAATTTGGCAGGGCGTGCAAATTCGTGGACCTTGTGCCTCAAATTGCACGACCCATTTGTATTTGGGTCGTTAAAAGTCTTCAAATCCCTGTTTAGGCAACTTTTGAGCCGCCGCGAACAGAGTTCAGAGCTCGATCAGAACACCTGAAAGTCAAGCAAGGTAAACGTTACGGGAAACTCGTACATTAGTACATATGTGTGGTGGAGTGGCGATCGCTCATTTTGTGAGACGGTCCCTACTCTCCACTGGTGCCGAGACGACTGATTCTCGGAGGGGGTACTCTGTTTCCGTGTCTTATATTATCTCTATCACCTTGTGTAACCATCGGTAGGTAGAGCTGCACCTTTTTTCGGTAGACTCGTGTCGAGAGAAAACTTGACGGTGTTGGGAATAAGGTTTGTGAACGCGCGGAAACCTTCACAGGATCACGGGTATACTTGAAGGTTATTTAATGCAAGCTAACCAGATCTTGACGAAATCGTCTTGTCCACTGTGTGAATGCTGCACTGGGGAAGGTTTGATTTCTTAACCCCCAGTCTACTATCCAAAGATACTACATGATTTAAGTTTAGGCAACTTAATTGACGTCGGGAGGTTAATATGTTTGCCAGGAAGAGAAGTCAACACGTTTACTTAGCAAATAGAATTCATTTTTAAGGCAACCTAACAAAAGCTAAAACTACCCATATGCCTGTTTATAAGCCAGGATATGCTACCACGAGTCCTCTACATTTCGTTGATCGTCCCTTTGCATACGCGGTCCACTTCCGAAAGATCATCGATCTCCGTGAGTGATCGTCGATCTCCTTGACCGGTCTTTGATCTCCTCAGGTGATCGCCGATCTCCTTGAGTGATCGTCGATCTCCTTGACCGATCCTCGATCTCTATTCAGGACAGTGATCCTTGTTGATTTGTCGGTAATCTTCCCGACTTTGAACGCCATATGCGTTCCCGATCTTGGTGTCTTGACTCGATCTTTGCAACTTGATATTATATCCCGTTGCTATGATGTTTGATCGTGGCATTGTGATATTCACTTTCGGTATCGTGGTATTCGATCTTAACATTGCGATATTCGGTTTTGGCATTGTGCAGCTTTACAAACAATCGATCTTTCTCAACGAATTGGCGCGTTTTGAGATCAGTACACTTAGCAATCGCCCCCAATTGCTTTGATCCGCTTTACAGCATACGTTAACTTATTCATTGCATTACGGTCTACCAATTGAACCATCAAGCAGTGACCACGTTGTTTATGCAGAATCTGACTGATGGTCCCGTCAGAACGTACCTGTTCCGGTTGGAATTCAACACCCTGGAAGAGGCCATAAGTGTTGCGAAACAGGAAGACTAGCGTGAAACAGACTCACGCAAACTCGATATTTTTATGCGAGAAGAGGACAGGAAAATTGAGTCCCGGAACCAATAAACCTATGTCACGCGAGGAGCGAGAACTCTCGTGTTAACAACTACAAGAAATTGCAATCACGCAATTTGTTGTCAGAAGACCGGATGTTATTCATACAAATGCAGCGCCCTGAACGCGGTACCACGTATGCAGGAAACAATTACCGCCAAGCATCCAAGCCGGGGTCCAAAGAGTGGGTCAGACGCTGTTGCGAAAACGCAACACCGTAACGGACGAACTAAAAACTTTTGGGTCAGCAGGTGCGGAGCATGCTACTAATATAACAACGTCAAGTGAGTTTGCAGGCCTCATAAAAAGGTTACGCCCAACACTCAGTCATAGTGTGTTGCTGCTTCTGATATTGAAGTTTACCTCATTACCCTGAAAATCGAAATAACACGAATCGTGTCGCTTTGAGCCCTTATCGATTGTGAATAGTCGAACAATTTTGTACAGATCCAATCGCTAGACAAAAGCGAGCCCAAAAATAAACTGTGGTGAAGCGAGTATTCAAAAACTATGGACTTAAGGGTTGACGAGCCGGACGGACATGGGATCTCGCGGCTGAAAACAAAGGACCGGGTATGGGGTCACAGGCAAGGAGCGGCTGCTGCTTCCAACCGTGACGAGCGGTTAAGGTTACTGCCAACGGGGTCAAACCGTCCAACAGTGCCAGTTACACGGTAACGATATGGATCATTTTCAACCTCTCGTCGGTTGGCCCTGGTCTACTAAGGCGGACCTCGGTCACCCGTAGGCCGACCTGGCCACCCATTGGCCGACCTGAATACCCATAGGTTGACGTGGCCTTTTAAAGTCTGGTGGCTCCTGGCCACTCATCATAGCGAACCCAGGTGCAAGACAAGGATAGTGTCAAGGAGTTAAAGGGATAGAACAACATGAAATACTACTTAATTTGCGATCTAAGTAGCACGACGTGTCGTGCGCTAAGAAACTTGTAAGTCTACCGACCTGTTCCGGGACAAGGATCTGTTTGGCCCACCCGTCGAATCTACAGTTGTCAGGTAGACACAAGTTTAAGTAGATACCCAGGGAGTACATTGGCCTGTGGGCTCGTAAATTAGCCCCCACTTCATCGCGCTTTAGGAAGGGGCCTCCATACCCTAGTGGTAAAGGAGAAGACACGTAAAGGCCAGGCGGTAAACACCTTCGAGACAAGAAAAGGCCAGGCGTTACCAGAACCTGAGACAAGTGGTTATTAGACCATTTCTCGACCAAGTCGATCGACAGGCCGCCTTTATTGAATTTCGACTGAATTACATCCGCTCAAGGTCCCATAGGTCGACCTCCATCAAGTGCGACGTCTAAATTTTCACCAAGTCCTTCAAAGAGTAAAACCAGCTAAGCCGACGGCTACACGAGGTGAGTCAAGGTCTACAAGCTGCGTCGGGGTACCCCCTCCGACAGTCGGCAGTCCGGCACAGTGAGTGGTTTGGGGTCTTGTAAGACAATTTTGACAACCCACTCCACCACAAGGTCGAGCGCCAGATCCCTCGAAAGAAGATGACGGTGCGCCTTGCGACAGGCGCATCCATAACAGTGATAAAACGTGTAAGGGTATTATCAATACCCTGCCGGATGCCCAACATAGTGATGACTTTATCATGCAGGACTTAAATAACATTTTATTGCTATCCTTGGACTGCCGTGACTCAAAAGGTAAGAGCCACAAGTCTTCAACCATAGACAATCAGTGGATATGCCTGTCACTCGTACACCGGATGAACATACGATAAATATCATGGAGCGTCCACTAAGATGTGGACGTACCACGAGCGAGTGCGATGGCCTCGCGCGTGGTTCGGTAGTTAGTACGACTGCACATGGCCAGGTCGTATCGGCACACCGTGAAGCCAGATTCCGGCGACTGCATTAAGACGCAGGTCGCGCCAAAGGTCCACCATCCGAATAAGACGAGTGGGCTGGGGCACGGGTGTCCCCTTAACGGTCAACACGTAAGTGACAACGAACCGAACGCCCATGATTGGCAATTCGATAATCTTAGTAAAATTGGAGAATCGCATGTAAAATACCTGGTCAAGGTAGCGCAAACATCGCCAGAAGATAGCGAAGGAGAAATTCCACTCGTTCGATGTTAAAATTTAGACCGAGAGTCTAGAAAGAAAAATTTTTCCCACCTAACTGTGAATACAAGTTCACAGAAAAATAGAGACATAAAAGTCCTGGTCAATGAATTATAGAGTGTAGTCAGTTATTAATTTGATAGTATTGCGCCTCCGAAGACAAGTTCACTCAATTGACCACACTCAAACAGAAGAGGTTATTGCGTGATCTGCGTACTGGAAAAGTCAAGCCGATTTACGTACTGGTCGCGGAAGACAAGTACGCAACCGATATTCGGTCGGCAATCGTGTTCTCCGAGAACGAAAATTTTTTCAGCAGCTCATTTATGTACGATAGTGTCCTTGATGAGAAGACTCGTATTGAGCAGGATGTATTCCAATTGTGGGACTCGCTCAAGAAAATTCTCGCTACGAAATTTTGACCGAATTCAGAGATGTGGTCTCAGGAAAAGTGCCATGTAAGTTACCCAGGGATCCGGGTACTCTACATTAAAACGATCTGATATCGGGGCCAGGTTACTGTTCATGAAGCCATGGCCACCACACCGCGAATAGTTACTACCAATTGACAAATTCTATGCTGTTTCTTAACAGCGATCCAAGTGAGGGAATCTACTTCCCCGCGTAGCTCTCCAAACTTCTGAGTTTGAAATTCCAC